TAAGCCTCGTTAGACTGGTCTGACAATGGCCTACTCCCTGCATGTCCAGTAAATGTTCCTTTGTTCCCAAGGCTTTCTTTTTCTTCTCATTCTTCAGATATTCTTGCTTCCTTTGTAATTCTGTTAGTACTCCAGCTCAGTATCCAGCTCTGCTTTTCCTGACTTTATGTAGAGGAGTACCCAAAGATTCTGCCCCTAACTCTTCTCTTTTCACTCTTTCCCACTGAGCTCCGGGGCTATGCTCTGCTTCTTTCCTTTTAACAATTTCTTCTGTATAAATGACTCCCATAAGTACTTTTTTTTCTTCCTATGCTGGGGTTTGCACTGAGGGCTTCACACTTACTAGGCAGGTGCTCTACCACTGAGGCACATCTTCAGCTCTTTTTGCTCTGGTTATTTTGGAGATAGGGTCTCACTTTTTGCCCATGCTGGCCTCAAACCCATCATCCTCCTGACTCAGCCTCCCAAGTAGCTAGGATTACACATGTGAGCCACCAATGCCTGACTCCTTAACCTACATCTGTAACATTGGGATCCACAGTTCCAAAACTGTGGCATCAAATGGCTTATTTAAATGTCATTAGGTTAGAATAAAGCTCCTTGCTGTTCTGTCCCCATCTCCTTTCTTTTCCTAAGCGTTCTTGTCAGCAACATCTACTCAGCCAGCCATAGGAAAACTTCACCATTGTCAGTGTCGCCCTTGGGCCAAATGGCAAAGGTGATTTGGAATGCTGCTCTGAAATGCCCATGACTGCTGGCTGAGCAGTGTCCTTCAGATGCTCTCATCCACTCACGCATAACTTCTGGTACCACAAAAGTATTCCTTTGGTGTGTTCTTTATTCTGTGTAATTGCCACAGTTTTAATAGCATGACCTTCTCTCCAGATCATGCTTCCTCCTGACCGATGCCATTTCCTCTTCGTCTACTGCTTTTGACGACAGCTGACACTAAATAGGTGATCAGTAATTTTCTTGTCATTTGGAAATTGTTTACTGACAGTAGTCTCAAATCCTTTTTTTTCTCCAGTTACTGCCAGAATTGTCTTTTAAAAAAAAATTCCAACCCCTCTTTTTTTTTTTTTTTGGTGAGACTAGGGTTTGAATTCAGGGCTTCACACTTGCAAAGCAGGTGCTCTACTGCTTGAGCCACACTTCCAGTCCATTTTGCTCTGGTTATTTTGGAAATAGGGTCTGGTGAACAGTTTGCCCAACCTGGCCTTGAAACACAATCCTCCTGACCTCAACCTCCCTTGTAGCTTGGATTAGGACTGAGCCACTGGCAGAACCTTTTCAGACTCCTTATCTACAGTATAAAATTCAATATGATGGTCATCAGGGTTTTTTTCCTGTCATTGTCCTGAATGTGTATTATCCTTTAGCTACATACATTCCCTGCATGTATTTCTGTGCCAGTGCTGGATTTTTTTCTTCAGAATTAATGTTTTCTGTAGCAGAGAAACTGTTAGAGAAGGGGACTGAGGAGTAGTAGGGAGTACAAATATGAAAATACCACAGCGAAACCTCTCAGTTGTACAGTAAGATGTACTAACAAAGAATTAATGCTTCCTACATTTATTAATAAACATTATGTATTAAACGTTATTATGTGTGTGGATACATAACAGATGATGGATCCTATGCTGCATATAAATACAAAGATGGATATGTCTTGAGTAATTCCCTTGTAGTTTTCCCTTACATTTTGCATTTGTGAAATCCCACCCTTCAAAACCTAAGTGAACTTTCACTTTATCCATGATGTCTCCCCAGATCATATCAGTATGGGTCAATCACTGCCTCTGTAGCCTTGTTAATATCCAAATCACAAAATCAATCATTGCTCTTGGTTTTATCTCTACATGCATCTCTGTCATTGAACTAGAATTCTTTATAGCAGGAGTTCTGTCTTTTTACCCCATTTTATTGAAGTATTATTGATATACAAAGGCTACATGTACTTGATGTACAACTTATCACCCCATTCAGTGCTGTAAACATAGAGATTATGTCTGGATCACCTTAGTTTAAAACCAAGGTGAATCCCATGTGGTTATTCTCCCAGGGCTTGGGAGGCAGGAGGATCATAAGTTCGAGACCAATAAGGACCACACAGCAAGTTTCAGGCCAGTCTGGTCTATGTCTCTTTCTCAAAACAAGCCAGGGAGGATTGAGAAGGATGATCCAGATAGGAGGAAATCAGTTATGTTAACCAAAGCCAAGAAACATATTTCAAGAAAGAGAGACCAGCCAGGTGTGGTGATGTACACCGCAATCCCAGCTACTCAGAATGCAGAAATTAGGAGGATTGTAGCTGGAGGCCAATCTGCAGAGGGAAAGTTAGCAGGACCCCATCTCAATAAGCTGATGTGGTGATACATGCCTGTGACCCTAGCTATGTTGAGGCTGATAGGAAGATTGAAGTCTGAGACCAGTCTAGGCAAAAATGCAAGTCCTTACCTGAAAAAATAACTAAAGCAAAAAAGGCATGGGAGCATGGCTCAAGTGGTAGAGTACCTCCTGGCAAGAGCAAGCTCTGAGTTCAAATCCCACTGCTTCCAAAAAATAAACAAGAAAGAGAGTCCAGTAGGTGATGTCTTAAGCTATAGAGCAGCAAGAAGAGTTCAGACTGAATGGACCACTGGATCTGGCAGCTCTGAGTGGCAGTTTCTCTTAGTAAGAATCAGTTGAATAAAGTAGCAAGGGTAGACATCAGGTGGCACTTGACTGAGAAATACATAGAATTCTTCCCCTTAAGTATAAATTTTTAGTTGGTATTTTTATAGATACTGGCTGGTAGACAAATGAAAGATATATGATCCAAATAAAGATGTAGAATCCTGAATATATGATATTAATTTAGGGAGAAGATCTATATATCTTTTCCAAAGTAGATGGTGGTGACAGGATTGATCTTCTTTTAGGAAAATTTAGAACCTCAATTGCTATCTTCATCACATTAGACTACCTAACTCTACATAAGAGACTACAGGGCTTCCTTCACCACGTTTCTGATGCCTTATACAAACCATGGCCAAGGTGATTTCCACTTGGAGGTTTTCAGAATGGTTTTGCTTGATGGTCTGTGCTCCTTATACTCCATGTTCTTGTTTAGCTTGCAGTGCATTAACAGTAATTACTGACCTATATAAAATGCATGGATTTCTAAATGTCACTGAAGAACTGTTAAATTGGTTTGGTTTTTGGCATACTGTATTTGATCATTTGTAAGACACATTTAACATTCTGTAATCAGAATGCCTTTTATAGTACATAGTGTGCCATAATTTTAATTGATAACATTGTTTTTGGTATTACATAAAATAACCGTGCCCTCTCAATCAGTGGCATCTTTGATCTGGTAAAATATAACAACATTTTAGTGAAAATATAGTAGGGAACATTAAAATTTACAAACTTTACTTTTTAATATATGTTCAGGAATTTTTTTTATAATGATATTTTCTCGTTTTTTCTTTAATGAGTCATGCACTAAAGTTTATCTTAAAACAATACGACTGTTAAGCGAAGGTAGGTAGAAAAGGGAAGAAAGAATCTGTTGTATGTTACTTGAAATTATGATTTGTTGTACAGAAGGAGTCTTGGTTGGCCATAATTCTTATTAGTCTGGTAGAAGCACGGAGAGTTGGTGACCCGCATAAGGTGTGGTCCCTCTATGGTCTTTAGTCCAGGGCATGTGTATTCGTCACTTTCTTCACTCACAGACTGTGTTGAGTGCTGCTGTGCTGCTGGCCATGCCCTCAGCACCCTGGACAATCCCTTGGCAGAGTTCCTACTCCAGTGGAATCGTACAGCGATGACTGCTTGTGCTGCACTCTTCCTCACGTCTGCTCCTCCTTCATGGACGTGTCAAACTGACAGATGGAATTGGCTCGGATTTTTTTCTTACAGTTCTAGGCACTGAAACCAGGCCTTGCACATGCTAGGCAAGTGTTCTACCACTGCACTACGTCCTCAGTCAAGAGACGAGAGATTTGTATGTTGTGGAACTGAGAAATGAGATTTACAGTTTCGTTTTGATTTTGTGGTACTGGGGTTTTGGACCCAGTGCCTTAGGCTGTCACACTGCCCTTATTTGTTTTTGCTGTGCCTGCCACATTAGGTGGGACTACATGCATGCACCACCATGCTTGGCTTATTTGTTGAGATGAGGGTTTCATGAATTTTTGAGCCAACTTGGCCTTGAACCTTAATCCTCCCTATCTCTGCCTCCTGAGTACCTGATATTATAGATATGACCCACTGAGACTGGCCTTTACAGCTTCTTAAAAGGAGAACTAGGTGCTTGGTCATAGTAAGTGTCCAAGTAAAAGTTGGTTGACTACTAGGTGGTATATCTTTCAGATGGTGAACTAAGAAATAAATGGGCTGAGAACAATAACAGGAACAATGGAAGCTTCTCAGTCTGCTTGGGCATTATTAAAATAAATTGAAAACTTAAGAGACTTAAATTTCTCACTATAGAAAATGGTGATTCAAACTGAAATTATTCTAGAGCTGTGATGATCAAGTTGTAAACAATAACAGGTCCTTATCAGTCAGGTTCAGTAAGCCAGCAGTCCTCTCTTTGAAATTAAATGTAACTTAAATAATTAAATAAAGATACGCCTGTGCTTGTGTTGATGTGTTTTAGTAATGTCTCAATACCTAGTCCTCCTCAAAAGAGTGAAGCAGCATGTGATGAGGGAAGTGCAGTCTAACGAGGCGTGCGTTTTCCTCTGGTAACCGAAGGTTAAATGGGTAGCAAGCAGAATGCCTTCAACAAGATTGGTATATTGATTAAAGCGCTGACTTAACAGCTCGCAGTTTCCCCTGGAAATCTGGAAAAGATAAGCCAGCTGCTGTCTAAGAGTGCGCACTGTCCACTGAGAGTACACTATCTATCATCACAATATGGCTATGAGAAGTGTTTTATGTTTGTGTTAATTTCCCCCACTAAATCAGTAATTATTACAATCCTGTCCCTGCTGTTTACCCTGCAGCTGTTTTTCCATTTGTCGAGAGAGCGCGTGTTCTCTGAGGACCGCACACGTTTCTATGGTGCAGAAATTGTCTCTGCCTTGGACTATCTGCATTCTGGGAAGATTGTGTACCGTGATCTCAAGGTAAAAAAAAGTAATCAGTATTTGTTTTTGCAGAGACTGTAGGGACAAACAGTAATTAAAAAGTTACACAGTTCTGAGAAGAGTGGTTTAATTTGGAGAAAAGCACTCTAGGAAGGTAGTTTGCTACGTTCGACAGGGAATTTCATTGGCTGAGGTGCATGGGGTTCCTTTAGATTTGAGTTTTTGCTCTGATCAATTCATCTATTGATAGTAGTTCCATTTTCCTGTAGATATTACAGAGCAATGTTAAACATCTGAGTAAAAGTCAAATAACTTTGCAAATAACATTTTAAAATATCTTTCATTATTATATTCTAACATTTAATAATGTTTAGGAGGAAATTTTTATAAATTAAGACTATTGGAAGGAAAAAATTAATTTTGATTGTATTGTTGACTTATTGAGAGGTTTAAATACTTGAAGCAATTAAGATAGCTTTTTACTAATTTGCTTAGTTTTTCATTTATGAAAGCACAGTATATGTTTTATTAGTAATAAAAGCCTTGACTTCTCTAGGTTCTTTCATGGTAAGACCTTAGAATGACTTAGGGTGGGCAGCATTTTTTAAGGCCAGATAATACACATTTTAGTCTTTTCTGCCCACAAAGTCTCCGTTGCAACTATTCAGATCTGCCATTATAGGGTAAAAGAAGACTCAGACATTATGTAAATGAGTATGTTTCACTGTGTCCCAATATAACTTTATGTATAAAAACAGTCAGTAGTATAGATTTGGGTCATATAACCACAGTTTACTGATCCCTGGAGTAGTACATGTAAGCCAAAAATGACTCACTTGACACTTTTATAAGTAAAGCTGGCTATATTAAGGAAATTTGTATCATGGCAGATTTTGAACAAACTCTAAATGTTATAATCTTCTTTAAAATTAAATCTTGGGGTGAGGGTATAACTCGTTTGTAGATTGCTTGCCTAGTATGTGCTGATCCCTAGCACTGGGAAAAAATAAAAGTAAATCAGAATCCAAGCAAAATAGTAGATGTCTGTGATCCCAGCTACTCATGACGCTGAGGCTGACAGATCCCAATTTGAGGGAAGCCTGAGCAACTTAGTGAGATCCTGCCTCAAAATAAAATTTTAAAAGGGCCAGGGATATAGCTCAGTGGTCAAGCATTTGCTTTGCATGTGTAAAGCCCTGGGTTTGGAGAAAATAAATCATATAGTTACCTTTGCCTATTAAAAAATTTAATGTAGAATTGCTTTGTTGATCAAGTTTTTTGTAAAGTATAATTTGATATACAGAAGTAGAAGTTACCTGGAATTTTTATGTGTAAAAATGAGATGTATGTCTAAGAAAAGAAACCACAATTATACCCTTCCTGCCATCTCACTTGGTAAAAATTGCCTACAATTCTTAATATTTCTCATTGTTGAAGGTGCTGTGTAGTCTAGGTCACTCCAGATGTTCCCACATGCTCCATTTTGTCATAAGTGATCTGAAGGCATGACCATCATATAAAATATTTCTATACAGTGACAGTGAATTATGCTTGGTACAATTTATTAATTATTATAAAGGAAGCCAAACATGTAATCCCCAGCACTCAGGAGACTGGTGCCAGAGATTATGAGTTTGAGGCCAGCCTGGGCTATCTAATGAATTCGAGGTAAGCCTAGACTGCACAGCAAGACCCTGTTTTAAAAGAAGAAAACATGAAGGAAGGACGGGAGGGAGGCTTTAAGATACTGTATTTAGGAGAAAATGAATGATATAACTGTAAAACATTTAGTTTAGCGATGGCTAATTGTATAGATGCCAAAATGAATGAAGAGGTGAATACAAACCAACTGTATGGTTGAATTGAACTAGAATCTTTTTAGAGCTAGGAATGTGACAGAATTTAGCATTCTTATATCTGATGTCTGCATGGCAAAAAATTCTGTAATGTTTAAATGTCTTGAGTATAGATGCTTTTTTAAAAATTAGCTAATAGATATGATGAAGTATGTATTAATTTTCCCAGTATACTTAAAAACAGCTCTTCCTAAGTCCAGTCCTTCCATTCTCACTTCATGTTTTGTGATCTTATTTATAGGGAGCAAGAAGGGGAGAGACCTGGCTTTTAAGGAAACGAGAACAGTTTTGAAGCAGGGAGTAACATATCCAAGATACTTAGCTAAAAGAAAGTATTATTAGCTTAAGTAAACCTAAAATAAAGAATGTTGATTGCTAACATCAATATGGACTGCTGACTATTAGGAGGATCTTGATCACTATTTTCCATTAATCATCTCTGATCAAATGAATCAATATGTTGGTATATTGAAATTCATTACATACGCATTTTATTGCCCCATTTTTTCTGATGGAATGAGACTAAATTTATTAAATTACAATTCAAGTATCTACTTTATATATGAAGGCCTATCATATAGTTTATCATGTGCCTTGACCACTCACTTTACTAGACATTTAAGTGGTATCTGCGCTGTTTTTTTATGTAACTTTAACTTAAAGGAAATGTCTAGTATAAGATAGACACGCTGTGAATATACACCAAGAAAAAGACATGTAATGTAAGAAAACAAACATTCAAAATTTATACAAAACAATGTACATTCTGTGTACAAAAGAATGAGATCATTTTAGTGGGATCACAGAAATACAGAGTGAATCCATATTTTACAGGTGATGTTCTTCAAGCCTAAAAGCAAGTTACTAGAAGAAATGGCAGTTATGACTCAGATAAGATTATTGGAGTTAGACATGTGTGTTAGACAGCTTGCTGTCACTGCAATGAAGTACCTGAGAGAACTAACTTGTAAGGAAAAGAGGTTTATTTTGGAGATTCTAGTCCAAGATGGAGTGGACCATTTGCTTTGGGTCTCTGATAAGGTGCTGGATGGCAGTGTGGGGTGTGCATGGTAAAACAAACTGCTCAACTCTCAGCAGCAGGCAAAGGAGGATAGGGCTGGCCCCTCAAGAGCATGGTCCCAGTAGCCCAGCCGTCTCCTAAAGTTTCCATTACCTTCCAATAACATCATCCCCAGGACCAAGCTTTCAACACCTGAGCTTTTGGGAGACATTCAGGGCCCAAAACACGAATCCTAGTTCCTACTCTTGTCTTTTCACTACAGTATTCTGTCTTTCTAGAGTTGAAATGTGAAGTCTAGATTAGAAAATACATTGGATTAACTCTAGGAAATCTTTGTAAAGCTAAAATTCAGATAAACCCACCAAAGAGAATGGAATGAGTGTTTCAGATACCAGATGAATTAAAAAGAGCTGGCTGTTACCTACTTTGATCAGTATCAGATTTGTCTCTGGTCCTTCTGTTAATAAGCTAGTGACTATTTAAATGAAAATCCACTTGAGATACTTACAGTAGCAGGACTTGCCAAGCACATCAGTGCCTGTTTGCTGCTTCCCCGTTTAGCTGTAGAAGCAAAGCCTCATTTCATGTATGGATTAACTTAAAAATATTTTATCAGTTCCTATTTCCCAAAAATTCTGGTGTTCATACAAACAGTAATTACTGAAACTTTTTGTATTTTACAAGGTAAATCTGCTTATTGCATTTCATGATATTAAATTGTTTTATTAAAGAGTTCCTTAATAAAGTAAGGAACATGTGATTACTAGGAGCTGATGTTGTTTCATGATAGCATAAAAATTCAAAGGAAACTCTTCCAAGACCTCTTCAGTCATAAAAATTATATATTAAAAATTTCTTTTCTGCATAGCCCTTATTTTGCAAGTGCAACCTTTATTTACAATGGCTGTGACCATCCATGTAGAGACAAAACCAGACAGGAACATTTGCAAAGCTGATGATAACAATACTGGAATTCATTAAGAATTAATTTCTCCAAGAGTTTGTGCAGATTCAGTAAAGTAATACATAAATTGCTTCTATATTCATTTGTGGAACATCTAATCTTGTTTTTTACTTTATCAGATTGACTATTTATGTCATTAATATGAGAAACTGCCATGTAGATTGAAATAATGTCTGAGACTTGGTGACAGAGGATAGCCTCAGTGTCGGCGTTTATCAGCTCCCTGGTGCTCATCTCATAAGCACACAGCTCGATTTCTCAATTCCCACTTCTAACCAGACTGCCACGCTGCACTCTCTCCTTTCTAGAAAATTTAAGCTGCTGCTATAAAGAACAGTTTCTACCTCTAAAATTAACTGTACTGTTGAGTTATGTCCCTTATTTCTACCAAATTCTTAAATAGCTTGGCATGAGGGGGTCCTCCTCTATTGGATATGATAAATCTTTTTCTGGTTTAGAATAGTTGAAAGTAAAGAATTAGTCTCTTTTTCAGTATTCCAGTTCACTCAGTTCCCAGGTCATTCAATTCTTGAATGTCAGCTTGTGACATTTGTACATTTAAAAGCCCATAAACCTAGATCTGCAATGTGCACAGTAGGAATTCCTTACTACCTTCTTGGGCCTGAGGCAGTTTTGGTGCCTAAAACTGAGTTTGATGTATCTGTGCTAAAGTGGGGTGGACTGTAAGTGAGTGGCAACACTTGATAGTGCTCCAGTAGGCAAGAGCCCATAGGAATTGGCTTCATTCCTTTAATCACAGTGTCTGGTATTTAAATAAAATGATACTCTCTGTATGCATGTAAACTTTCTAATAGGTAGACTGGTTTACATTAGCACAGAGCATCCCAGTCCAAGGTGAGTCACAAGTGAGTCACAGGTGTGTCCAAGCCACATCTTGCCTCTGCCTGCACAACTGCCAGCAGTATTGCCAGGTATCAGCTCTGGCCTCAGGCAGCCTGTCAGTGATCCTGGTATGCCCTATGAGTACCATTTTTTATTATACTATGAAGTAGAAAAGTTGGCAGCCCTGATTAAAAGTAGCTAGGATTTTTGGAATTTTATTTCATTTTAGGCACCAGCAAAATAGGAAGGAGCCTGTCACTTAGTGGTCATGATTTTTTGTCCACAAAGCACAAAGGAAAAAAAAGATTTCAGCTTCTGCCATGGATTCCTATACACACTGAATCAAGACCTCTGTCAAATAATGCCTGCCCACTTTAACTGGGCAAAAACCATTGCCATTTTTTCGTGGGAATTTTATGAGGTATGTCATCTAATTTTTTTCCTCAAAAGCATGAAATACTATGTTTTGAATTTTTTTTTTTTGTAGTGCTGGAGATCAAACCCAGGGTCTGAGCATGCTAGCAAGTACACTACCACTGACTGAGCTATACTAAAAGCATGAACTTTTACTTAACAGCTCTCTGACTGATCCAGGTAGTTTTATCTAGATTTTTACTAGACTCTTTTTTTTTTTTTCCTCATGACATCCTCTTTAACTTTACCCCTCCTTCTGCCAGCGAGTGCACCTATAACATGAGTGTTTTGCCCTCAGCCGTGGAAACTATAGCTATGGACATAAACAGAAGTATTTAAACTTTAGAGAAAGAGTGTTTGCACTGTTACAACCTGTGCATTTTGCATATGGCTAATGATGGGAAGAAGGAAAGCCATAAGATTTAGAAGAAAAAACAAAAGACAGATCATTTGTAAATACTTTTATTCCTTCTTTACACAGTAAGTGGGTCCTAAAAATGTATTGACTAAGTACTCAAATGCTGGTAGTGTTAAATGTACTGAGAGGTGATTTCCAGATGTCTCTAGTATATGTAGGCCATTGGGCTGCTTAGAAAAGACTTGGTCATTCTGTGTATCCCACAGATTCATGAGTCACCCTACTAATGTTTTTGTACCTATGTTTTGCAGAATGTTATTAATGCACCTGTATAAGATGATCATTTATTTTGTACATCTTTATACAAGATTAGATTAGGTGTTTTATTTTTAATTTGGTGATACGTTTTAAGGTGATGCTTCTCTACTTGTTCATACTTGGTTTTGTTGTTTAGTGAAATGATATTTTAAGATGCCTAGAGAAGAGAAGTAATTGAGAAAAGAAGGTAGACATGTAAAATGACTGGCTTTAAAACTGAAATATTTATTTGGAGGAATTTATTACTTAGTGAAACACATTTTTAATGAAGTAGTTGAGCTGACAGAGATATTTATGGAGATCCCTTTCTGAACTTTGCTCTTTCCTTTAACAATGTCACCCAGGAAAGCCTACAACGTTTTGTTAACTTACTCAGTGGCCATTAAATTCCCTAAATTCAAAAAGCAACTGTTTATTCAATGCTTACATTTTAAGTTCTACTTTCAACATATCACTGAATTTTCAAAACCATCACATTGGATTTTGTTACTGCCTTTGTTTTCTAAATGAGATTCAGGCACATTCACACAATGAGAAGGGGTTAAGTTCTAATTTAATGTAAGACCTCAAACTGGGAATAATTGTTATCTCTCATCTCACCCTTTTCCCTTATCCAACCTTGTCCATGCTCTTCATTTTAATTCTCACCCCCAGCCATTGATGTGAGACTCAGAGCTGAGATAAGAAGGTAGAAAGTTGGGTACAAGTCGGGATTTTTAAAAAATACATCTTGCATAATATTTTAAACAGTGTTTATACATTTTGATTTTTTTGTATCCAGCCATTCAAAATAGCTTTGTGAGAATTAGGAGAAATAGTGTGTGCTTTTCTGTTTCCATGGATACTTTCCCATGCTAGAAAGCATATGAGGAGGAGTGTCACAGTAAGTGGGAATGGACTGGAGTACAAACACATTCACATTTGTCTAATACCGTTTCATTCCTTGAAATTCTTACACATTTTGTGTGTGTGTTGTAATAAAAGATGGATATTTTAGGGTATTTTTGTAGCATTTAAAAATACTACGACATTCGTGTATTAAAACAATAAGCACATTTAATTAAGAGCAAGGCATATACATTTTTATTTACCAGAGCAGCACAAGCTTTTCTCTTATCGTGGTAAGGTGTAAGGGAAGAATGATAAAGGGTGTTGTTTGAAAGAGATGGAAAAAGGAGAGAAATCGGGACATAATGAAGACAAACACAGGCAAAAGTAGAGAAAAAAGACAAGAGGAGGAAAGAAAGGTGTAGGGAACTCCTGATACTTCAGATTGGGTTCAGTACTAAGAGCTCACTGCGTCAGTGCAAATTATCCTTGATTTTAGGTTCTAGTTGATAAAGAAGCAAATGGAAGATACAAGGTATTTGAATTTGGATAAAATAAAAGCACTTCTTATTTTTAAGAAGTGTCAACAGCGTATTTAGAGTTTATTTAGCTTTCTGTAGACAAATTAAAGAAAAGCTGACTTTTCTGACATATACTTTAACTGAAACATGAATTGAACTTTTAGTTGGGTTGGGTAGTACATGAAGTGCTGCGTGAAAGGGCTTACTTACGTTCTGATCTTTGTTTTAGTGGGCATAGCTTGCTACCTGTGTTGAGTATCTGCTTTATAAGACACTTAATAGCAATACTATAGAGAGTATGATGTCTTTACATTTCTTATGATTGGCATCTATCGAGTTTGTGTTCTTGTGTGGGGTTCTGCTTTAAATTTGATTTTAACTTCAAATTTCAGGTAAGCACCTTGAAATGTCGTCACATTAAATAAAAGAATAAGCATCCTACTCCTTAAAGTTAATTTTGGTAATAGTTTTTTACTTTTTGTGCATTTCTTTTGTGTAAGGCTGTGTGTTCACAATTCAGAACTCATGCATCCTGATGCGATGGTGACCACAACTTGGGTTCAAGTTGGGTGGGGCGTATTTTATTAACTATTGAGTATTTGACTTTGATATTTCTTCTTCCTTTTATGTTTAAAAGGGCTATTTCTTCATTACAAAAGAAAACCTACAAAAGAGGGCATCTCTTTTCCTTACAAAATAAGATTTAGGTTTGATTGATAGCTACCCCCAAAAAACATTGCTGTAAGTGAATATTTTGTAATAGCAATAGATTTTCAAGAGAAATTACTGAAAATCTCTGTATGTTTCTAGAAGATATGCAGCTCTTTGGGATTATTTAAATGACATTTTATTTTTAAAAAATAAAGATTAATGTTTTGTTTCTAAAAGTTTAAGCCATAGTTCTGAGAACTTACACAGTCACAGCCCATAAAGCTATACTGTGCTTTCAACTGGTTTAAAAGTCAATAGTTTAGTCATTATGGACTGTTTGAGAAACATGTTCTTTTTACACATGAAGCAATAGGATTTGTAAGAACTAAAAGTTCTTTTTCTAAAATGATATTCTTTTTTCAAAATACCCTAGGCAGCATTCAATAATTTTTCAAATCAGTATTTTCTTAAGGTTGAAGACTATAAAACAAATTCTGTCATTTTCTTAACATACAGTTGGAGAATTTGATGCTGGATAAAGATGGCCATATAAAAATTACAGATTTTGGACTTTGCAAAGAAGGAATCACAGATGCAGCAACCATGAAGACATTCTGTGGTACACCAGAGTATCTGGCACCAGAGGTAGGCTTAGCCCCATACATAAGAAAGATAGCATTGATACAATGTTTTATTAAAAAAATTGAAGATTTAAAAAAAAAATTGCAGTACTTACTACTTCCTTTACCAGATGTCAGCCCGAATCAGATTTATTCTGCTCTGAGTTGTATAATGAGATATTTTAAAACCAGGAATATATGGAGACCAAATTTTATAAAAGTGCGCTAACTAAAGTTTTATTTTTTGTCTGCATTTTATTCTTCATTATGTCCATATTGATTCATTTAGTAAAATAGAATAATTGAATGACTTAGCAAGAATATCCCTTTTGGACTTTACTTAGAAACAAAGATTATAGGGCCAAATGTGATGGCTTATCCCCATAATCCCAGCTACTGGGGAACTGGAGGCCAACCAGGGTAAAAAATTAGCAAGAGCCTATCTCTCTCAATAAGCATGGTGTGGTGGCTCCCGCCTGTGGGAAGCCTGAGGTAGGAGAGTGTTGGTCTGAGGCTGCTGTGGGTAAAAATGTGAGACCCAAGGGTGGGGATGGATAACTAAAGCAAGAAAATTATAAAGGGCTGGGTATGGAGTCTCAATTGCTAGAGTACCTTTCTAACAAGGTAGAGGTGAGGAGTTTAAACTCCTGTACCACCAAAAAAAAAAAAAAGAAAGAAAGATTACAATGATTATTGGATTTGTAGTACGTGGGTTTTCATAATTAATTATGGAAACTTGTTTTATTGGGAAAACTAGATAATGAAATGACTACCTACTTTTTTGAGTTCATGCTCTAAACCAGTGACCTTTTGCTGAAAGTTCTTCAATAGCTTATTAGTTTATTCAGCAAGGATTTATTGTGTTTGTTTTATATTGAGTATCTTTCTGCATAGTATACTTATAGGAACAAGGCAAAAGAGGACTCAACTCTCAGAGAACTTCTAGTGGAGAGGGACAGAATAATAATAAATCAGTAACATAACCTCTCCAGTTATACAGAGAGAGGGGACAAGATAAAAGGAAAGATGTGATGCACCATGGTGGCTATTTTGGATGTACCAGTTACTGTTGCTATGCAACAAGCTACCCCAATACTGTGTGGTAAAAACCCATTTTATATGATCATGAATTTTTTTAAAATGAGGAATGTGGATGGGGTGGCAGGAATGACTTATTTCTGTTCCACTTCTGTTTGTTGCCCTAGCCAGAAAGACTTCCAGATGAGGAGGTGACTGGCTAGAGGCTGGAATCACCTGGAAGCATCCTTACTCTTACGTCTGACAGTGAGTTCTGGCTGTCCATTGGCACCTTGTTCGGGGTGTTGATAGGAGCACTCCCACATAGTCTATCCATAGGGACTGGGCAACAGTCCCTGTGACAACATCAGAGTAGTCAGAGTTCTTTGGCTCTAGCTCCAGCGGTAAATGGCCTAGGAACAAGTTAGAAGCTACCTTGTTTTATTTTATTTTATTTTAGTCTGCTAAACTGTGAGGAATGTAACTTTTCAAAGATGTATTTTCATACTGTATTTATGACTTGAGTGCAATTCACATACCATAAAATTCTCTCTTAAAAGTATACAATTTAATATTTTTTCTGTGTTCACAGAGTTGTGCATCTGTCATCTCTGATTCCAGAATATTTTAATCACCCCACTATACTCACTAGCATCCCATTCTCCCTTCCCCCCCAGGCAGCCATTAACATACATTGTCTCTGTTGCCTACTCTGAGCACTTCATATGAAATTGTACAATATGGAGTCTTCTGTATCTGTCTCCTTTCACTTAGCCAATTTTCTTCAAAGTTCACCATGCTACACCACTTTGCTACTACATTCCCTTATGGACATATAGTGCTCCACTGCATGGCTATATGCCTCACTGTGGTTCTTCATTTCGAAGTCGATGGATATTTTAATCCGGTCTGTTTTTTTGACTGCTATAAATAGTACTGCTATGAACGTTCACATATTCACCTCCTTTCATGGTCTCTTCAGAAGCCACACACTTACTCCTTGAAGCAGTTGTGATCCTGCTCAGATTAAAGGTATAGACATAGACACTTCCTACTATAGAAGAGCAAGTAAGATAGGAGGTAATGCAGTCACCTGCGGAAGAGAAAATCTTCCACAGAAAAGATCAGGGAAAGTGATATTTCCTTAGAGATCTGAGTGAGAAGAAGGTGGAAGTCATTACAAAGTTATAGGGGGAAAAGCATCTTACACAAAGAGAGCAGCTAGTATCAAAATTCTGAATTGAGAATAGCTTGGTTTTTCCCTCAAACTGCAAGAAGGTTAGTGTGAGCAAGTATAGTGGCTCACTGCTGTAATTCCAGCTACTCCAGAGCAGAGGCAGGAAGATCAAGAGATTAAAGGCTAGACTCAGCAGTTAGTGAGACCCTATCTCAAAAACAAAGCACAAAGAAATGGGCTGAGGGTGTGACTCATGTACTAGAGCTCTTGCCTAGCATGAGCAAGGCCCCAAGTTCAATCTGTAGTGCCAGGGGCTTAAAAATGTTCACCTGGGTGTGGGTGCTCCCACCTGTGATCCCATCTGCTCAGGAGGCAGGGAACAGGAGGATCATGGTTCAAAGCCATCCTGGGCAAATAGTTTGTGAGACCCTTTCTCAAAAATACACAGCACAAAAAAGGTCTGGCAGAGTGGCACAAATGGTAGTGTGCCTGTCTAGGAACCGTGAGGCCCTGAGTTCAAACCTAGTCAAAACAAAGTTTAGCATGGCAGGTGCCAAATTGGTAGGCATTAATCGTTGATGGGTGAGCTTTATTCATTGAGCATCTGTGAAGTGCTACATTCTGTTGTATGGATCCATTATAACCATTATTTCATTTGGTATTTGGATTTTGTGATTGATAGTAAAACCAAGTTTTTGGAAAGGTGAGAGGGCAGGGGATTCAATTTTTTTAAATGTAATCTGTACACAGCTGGGAGGTGGTGGAGGTGTAATCAGGATTTTAACTAGTCTCATCCGACCATAGCACCCACTTTTATATTTATAACTACTGCATAATGGCCCAAGAAAGTCAATTTCAAGGGCACTTAACAGATAGAAGTAATAGTACTTTTTTTAGATAGATGTCTTGTAAATGCTCAATGGGAACTGCTAATCAGAAGAAATTCAGAAGTAGCATAAATTCACAATGATATTGGCATTCCATATATAGATGCTTATATATATGTGTATATATACACATATATATACACACACACACATACACACATATGTTTGAAAAACTCCTATTGTAAACCAGCACACACTTTTACTATAAAGTGTTTTTCAACTAGGACTTAAATTTACATTTTGAAAATGTTGAGTTATTATAAATAAGTGCTAATGCTTAAAGTACAGTAAACTAACCATTCTTGTCTTGCCAGAAATATTCTTTTCTCTGTTAAGAGACTGGAGTTTCAAATTCTCTATTTTTGTGGTTGAATTAGGTAAAATTTTAGAAACACTGTTCTTTGTTTATTCAAAAACAAGATCATATTTTCTAGAATAGAATTGTTTTTTGTGAATGTCATGAAAAACAAATTCTTTGTTTCTCTGGAGTTCAATTACCTTTGCTGTACATTTGTCCTGAGTGATGATAGGCCATATTTAGAATTCCAAAATTAGTTATGTCACAGTTAGGGGAAATTATTTCTGAAGAAGATAAATACATCTCATTTTAGAAACAGATGATCTAAGAAACAAAGATACTGTTTTCTATGCAAATATCATCAACTAAAGAACAAAACCAAGAATTTAATGCAAGAAGAGTCCTATCATTTCTAAATAGGAGGTTACAATTCACAGGAAATTATCAATTTCTTCTTAAATAAGTAAGAATCACAAAGGTCTAGTCTTTAAAGCAGTGTATATGCCCATCCATGACTGATTTATGTTAGCTCATAATTTAAATTTTGAAACCTTAAGACAACTAACTTCTCATGTATTTGGGGGGTTTTTTTTTTGGTGGTGCTGGGGTTTGAACTCAGGACTTTGTAGTTGTTAAGCAAGCACTCTATCACTTGAGCCATGCCACTAACCCTCATTTTTATATTTTAAATATTTGTGTCACATATAGTGTTTTTGTTAAATCTGGGTAACTTGGAATGTGTTTATAGCCTATTTGGAAAAAAAAAAAGCAAGAACCTAATTCCTTTATTCTGGTCTTTATTTCACTGAAGAACACTCATACATCCATTAAAGATATTTTTATTAGATGTCAGGCATTATGTTAGGTACTAGGCATACAGAGACAGTAAGAAATGGTTTTTGTTCTCAAGTACCTTGGTGTTTACTAAGAAGATAGTATATGGAAAGTATGACAGAAAATAGCTGCTTTACTCCAGTGACATACATTGGAGTGGAAGGACAAGGGAAGAGCTTACGCCTGCTGAGGGTCAGGGGAGGGAATTTGGCAGTCCTAAAGGGCAGCAGACACATAGCTGGAGGTTGGGGATACAGAGGAGTTTAGGCTGGATCCAGTGGGTCAGGAAATCATGTGTGAATTGCAAGTAAGAAAGTAATGAGATGAGATTTACATTGTCAGGGTTGGGAGTGATTGGCAGGAACTAAAAGCAACTTTCAGATGATAATCTCTTACTTTTTTGATTCTCGAAATTTCTAGTAAATACCATTATTAAAAGTAGTCTTTTCTTAGGACTGGTGAAGATGGCTCAGGTGGTAGACTACCTGCCTAACAAGCAATAAGCCCTGAGTTCAAGTACTGCCAAAACAAACAAACAAAAAAAACTAGTCTTTTCTTGATAGCAGTATAGAGTAGTTTTGAATCAGATCTGGAATAAATTCTTGCCTACTTGTCTTGTGAATGACTCACTATCAGTCAGTATTTTCCCTTCTGCTTTGGTAAAACTGTTTGCACAACAGGCAGAGATTGCTGTACCCTCTACTCCATCTTGCTGTGGTATTTCTTTACCTTTTAAACTGTCTTACTCTAATGGAAATGGTTTGCTATTTAAAGCTAGTTGAAGGTCAGTTGAAAGCCAGTTTATTAAATGT